CAGAAGGTTGCAGACCCCCGGGGGGGGGACACTCCAGCCCCGCACCCCTGCCCACGGCTGAGGGGAAGGGTCCCTGTCTGCCCAGCGCCCTTAGCCGGCGTGGGAAGATGTGGGAGCATCAGCAGGGATTTCTCGACCGCATGTGGGAAAACCCACAGCAAGCACCTGACTCCAGCCACCTCCAGGAGGGAGGGCAGGCACCCACCCGGTGCTCCCCACCACTGGGCTCCACGCAGGGAGAAAACCCACGGGGAAAGGGGTCTGGACAGGGGAAAAATTCTTCCCCGCTTTGTTTTTCTTTTACCCTATTTATTTTCTTTTTACCCTTTCACCCTATTTTTTTTTACCCTTTAGCCTATTTATTTTCTCTCTTTAAAAGAGCGCTTTGGGTTTTGTTGCATTAAAAAAAAGAAAAAAAAAAGGAAAAAAGAAAAAAAAAGAAAAACCACCCTCTGAGAGCCAGGAAAAATGGCAAGAGTTTTACAAGAATGTTCCTTAAAATACAGATCAAGTGAGGCTCGGACGTTTTTTCTCATTTAAATCAAGAGTTTCGGTGCTTTTTGCCAGCTTTCTAGCGCATGCGAATTTTACCCCATCAAAACCAATTTAAATCATCGATTTGAGCAGCCTACCACGGGTGTAACCGCTCGCGAACCCAGCCAGGACTACGAGGGGTATTGGGGGGCTGCGGGAGGTGAAACGGGGGGCACGGCCGGGAAATGTTGGACGGCTGAACCTCTGCAACATCTGGGCAGCTGGGAAAGGAGCCGGGCTCCAGCAAGCTGGGCTTGACAAGTCCCAAAGAGCCCTCCTAAATTCTGCTTCAGGCTTTACCGGCATTTCCACGCCTTTAGCATCGCTATTCCCCCGCACTTCTGGGCTTGGTTAAAGGTGCTTTAAGAGGTTAAGGCTGTTTTGGGGAAAAAGCACAACATCTGTCAGTGCCCGGCATTGCAAACAGGAGCTTAAGTAGAGATAAAGAAGGTTAAAATCAGCCAAAACTTCAATACTGCAGAGGATTTAAAACCCGTAAAATTATTCTGAAGTGAACTTTCCACCTTGTTTTTAGACTCCGCGGTGAGTCCGGGTTTAAACGACGGCTCTTATCACCCGCACCCACTCGTGCCCTTTCGGGCTTCCTTTGGGAAAGGAAAAAAAAAAAAAAAAAAAGGAAGATTCTGGGTTTTTTCTGTGGTGGGAAGAGCCGGCTGCGGGCGCTGAGATCCGCGGAGCACCGCGCAAGGGCAGCAGAAATCCTCCTCCTTGCGGCCCCCCCTCCTTTATTTTTTTTTTTTTTAATCCCGTTCTCCCCCTCGGAGGCCTGGGAAATTTCTCTAAATTTCAAGCTGGCCAAGGATTTGGGATAGAGGGAGAGAGCCGGTGCTCAGACCCGGCCGCCCCCGCGGTGCTTTTATCGTTCCCCCCCCCCCCCGCAGTTGTATAATTTCCAGCTCTCCACGTAAATTAAACCTTTTATCAAAGAAATAACCGTAATAAGAAACCTTTAGGCTCCAGGAAAACGACTTTGTTTTAAAAACGACCGGTTTTCCGCATGAAGGAAAGGTGAAGGGAGAAAAATCTGCAAAAAACACGTATATACACAGACAAGCGCCAGACTTGGAGCAGAAAAAACCAGCATGGATTTATTTTAAGGTAAGTACAACAATTAGGACCACATAAGACAAACGAACTTTGAAGCAGGTTAAAGCAAATAGTCCTTAGGAATGGTCAAGTTGAAATCTATTATACAAAACATCACACGTCGTAAATAATAATAAAAAAAGTATCAGATACTTTGTCTTTTTTTTCCTTTCAAAAAAAAAATCCACCAGCAAAAAATAAATTATTTCCTCGTCTTGCGAAAAGAACAGCTCTAAAACGAAAGAAACTCTATTGCATAATTGTACACAGAGGAAGAAGAAGAAGAACAAGAAATCACTTGTCATTAATTTGGAAGTTAGGAATCGTTGGGCGAGACAAAAATAATCCAGTGAACTCAACTTTAAATATTATATTAATGGCTCTGAAAATCAGCCTGATTAGAAATCCACACATTTTTTACAGCACAACAGAGAACTTAAAAAATACCCAGGACATATATTTATATATATATATTTATATACTTTTTTCTTTTAAAACGTATAAATGGATGTTGTGATATTGGTCCATAACTTATTTTTCTGAGACCCCCTATACTTTAGCATATAAAATTTGCCACTTTTAGTTAGACATATATATATAGAATTATTCCTTTTTTTTATTTTATTTTTTCGGTTTTGTTAGGAGAGATCCCCCTTTTCAAGTAGAATCTACTTGCCTGGAATTTAGAGGAGGCCCGAAACGAGAATCTACAAACTCTGTGGCTCCCAGGTCCACGGGGGAAGCTGTCAGATTTATTTCATTTCTTTTTTTTTTTCCTGCGTCCGAAGCGTTTGGTGCGGTTTTATTTCTCCCGATTCTTTTTTTAATAATAATAATTATTAATAATATTTTTTTTAATTTTGGGGGTGTTGGTGGGGGGTTTTTTTTTGGCAGATGGCCCTGGGCGGGGGGTGGGGGTGGAGTGAGGAGGGGGGTGGCGGCTACTCAGTACTTAGTGCAGTCGTAGGAGTAAGGGGCGGCGTGGCGGTATAGGGAGGGCGCGGATCTGTAGGGGATCTGACAGGCGGAGTTGCTGCTCACCTGGTGGTCGCTGAGCGAGGCGCTCTCCATCCCCAGCCGGTGCGAAGTGAACATTTCCCGAACGTTGGGAAAAGTCTGCTGCTGAGTACCAAAAGCGTGCCCGGGCAGGTGGCTCAACTCAGCCCCGTGATTGAGGTACCAAGAAGCGCTGGCTTGCCCCCCCCCCGCTCCTCCTCCTCCTCCTCCTCCACCACCGTGGGGATGCCCGGTCCCCAGGGCACCCTCCTGCCCCGGGGGCAAGCTCAGGGTACCGAGGGGCGACGGGGCACCGGTGGGATGCTCGCTCAAGCCCTCCTCCAGAGCCGAGGGGGGGACGCACATGTGGCCCGACCTCTCGCCGCTGTAAAGGCTCATAGCCCGCACGCTGCAGTGGTAGCTCCCACTAGTGTCCAGGGCTTGGCTACACGCCGCGCCGTAGCCCGTAGGTTGCCCACCCGGGTAGCCCAAAGGCATAGAAGCTCCCGTCCTGCCCGAAGCAGCACTCACCGGGCTGAGATCCCCCGCGGGGGATGTCCGTAAGGTCATGATGCTTTCCACGCTGAAGCCCGGTAACCCGTTACCGGCGGGGTGATGCTCCGGGAGGGGAGCTTCGGGGGAGGAGGCGGCGGGGGGCGAAGCTGCGCTGCGGGGACTGTCCCGCAGAGCCCCGCCGCTGGCCGGGCTCAGCGTTTCCACTTTGGTGATGACGGGCAGGTCGGGGGATGCCGTCTCGCTTTTGATGACCACCTTCTTCTCGGAAGCCGGCGCCGAGGCGGAGGAGGAGGAGGAAGAGGAGGAGGAAGCTTCCTTAGGGAGCTCGGCGCCGGGTAAACCGGGGGGTTTGGGTTGCTCCTTCAGCAGCCGCTCCCGGGCCTCCTCCTTTTCTTTGGAGACGTCCTTCTTCTTGAAACGGCGGCGGCGGCGGAGAAAGCTGCCGTTCTCGAACATGTTGTAGGAGTCGGGGTCGAGGGTCCAGTAGCTGCCCTTGCCGGGTTTTTTGTCGTCTCGGGGCACCTTGACGAAGCACTCGTTGAGGGAGAGGTTGTGGCGGATGCTGTTCTGCCAGCCCTGCTTGTTCTCTCGGTAGAAGGGGAAGCGGTCCATGATGAACTGGTAAATCCCATTGAGCGTGATCTTCTTGTCGGGGGCGTTCTGGATGGCCATGGTGATGAGGGCGATGTAGCTGTAAGGGGGTTTCACCAGGTCCTTGGGGGCGGCGGGTTGGTGGGGGTGGTAGGGGCCGTAGGAACGACCCATGCCGGCCGCGTATTGCTCGGCGTGGCCCGAATAAACGCTCATGGGGTTGCCCATGCCGCCGTACGTCCCCGCCGTCCGGTAGTAGTTCTGCTCGCTTAAATACGGCACCACTCCCAAAGCGTTGGGGTCCGAGACGGAGTAGCGAGCCTGCATCATGGAGAACGGGGGGGGGGGGGGTTCCCCGGGCCGGGCCGGAGGTCAAAGGGGGGGGGGGGGGGGGGGAGG